GCGCCTGGGGTTTGTTTATCCCCCCGCAGGAAGCTTTGCCCCCCCCCCCCCCGTGTCCTGACAGAATCTGTGTGACGTCACAGACATCAGACTCCCGACATGCTATGAGGAACGCAGGCTTGAGAACATTTCGGTGAATTTAGCAGAATGTCAGGAAGCTTGAGAAAATTTGAAAAAATTTGAGAAAATTTCAGTGGATTTCAGAAAATTTCAGTGGATTTCAGAAAATTTCAGTGGATTTCGGAAAATTTCAGTGGATTTTGGAAAATTTCAGTGGATTTAGGAAAATTTCAGTGGATTTAGGAAAATTTCAGTGGATTTGGGAAAATTTCAGTGGGTCTAAGAAAATTTCAGTGGATTTAGGAAAATTTCAGTGGAGGATTTAGGCAGTGGGTCTAAGAAAATTTCAATGGATTTCAGAAAATTTCAGTGGATTTCGGAAAATTTCAGTGGATTTAGGAAAATTTCAGTGGATTTCAGAAAATTTCAGTGCATTTTATGTGAAATTTTCAATGGATTTTATGTGAAATTTTCAATGGCTTTTATGTAAACATTTCAAAGAATTCAACAAAATTTCAATAGATTTAGGGAAATTTCCATGGATTTGAGAAAATTCCAGCGGATTTAGGGAAATTTCAAGGACCTGACGAGGTCACACGCACTTTGCCACTCAACCCACGAAGGCAGTGACGTCACTGCGTGGACTTGCCCACAGGTGGAGAGCGGACGTCGCTTTCCAGCCCTGGGATGAAGCACTTGGGAGAAGCAAGTCACAGAGAGGGAGGCGGGCGCTGGGTTCGAGGAGGGCTAGCCCAGACTCACGGGGCCGGGGCTTTGGGCCTGAAGTGACGCAGAGCATCATGGGAGCACAGGGTGGGGCAGACCTGCTGACACCATGGCGGACAGGTAGTAGAGAGAAGAGACTGGGGTCCCAGTGTCCCCTTCAAGGACCCGCCCCTGTGACGTCACTTCCTCCCCTCGCCCTAAGTTTCCCAACCTGCCATAGCCCAGGGATCTGTGACTCCATCCGTGGGTTAGCCAGAGATGACGTCACAGCCCTCGGACCTCCCATAGCCCAGGGATCTACCAGCCACGGGAGACAGCGATGACGTCACAGCCCTCATGACGCCATCGCCTCCCAAGTCGGAGCTGCGGGCAGAAAATTCCGGTTCCCACCATGGCCTGGGCCGGTCGTTCTCTCTGTTCTCACCTTAGGGACAGGGTGTCGTGTAGCCCAGGCTGGCCGGACGCCGTGTGGCCCGGGCTGGGCTCAGACCGTCGGTGTAGCCCAGGCTGACCCTGATTTCCTCACTGTCCCGCTCCTCCGTGTACGTGTCGGCCTCGCACACTCCGTGCACCCGGTGCTCAGTCCTCCCCGCCCGGCTGATTTCAGAAAATTTCAGTGCATTTTATGTGAAATTTTCAATGGATTTTATGTGAAATTTTCAATGGCTTTTATGTAAACATTTCAAAGAATTCAACAAAATTTCAATAGATTTAGGGAAATTTCCATGGATTTGAGAAAATTCCAGCGGATTTAGGGAAATTTCAAGGACCTGACGAGGTCACACGCACTTTGCCACTCAACCCACGAAGGTAGTGACGTCACTGCGTGGACTTGCCCACAGGTGGAGAGCGGACGTCGCTTTCCAGCCCTGGGATGAAGCACTTGGGAGAAGCAAGTCACAGAGAGGGAGGCGGGCGCTGGGTTCGAGGAGGGCTAGCCCAGACTCACGGGGCCGGGGCTTTGGGCCTGAAGTGACGCAGAGCATCATGGGAGCACAGGGTGGGGCAGACCTGCTGACACCATGGCGGACAGGTAGTAGAGAGAAGAGACTGGGGTCCCAGTGTCCCCTTCAAGGACCCGCCCCTGTGACGTCACTTCCTCCCCTCGCCCTAAGTTTCCCAACCTGCCATAGCCCAGGGATCTGTGACTCCATCCGTGGGTTAGCCAGAGATGACGTCACAGCCCTCGGACCTCCCATAGCCCAGGGATCTACCAGCCACGGGAGACAGCGATGACGTCACAGCCCTCATGACGCCATCGCCTCCCAAGTCGGAGCTGCGGGCAGAAAATTCCGGTTCCCACCATGGCCTGGGCCGGTCGTTCTCTCTGTTCTCACCTTAGGGACAGGGTGTCGTGTAGCCCAGGCTGGCCGGACGCCGTGTGGCCCGGGCTGGGCTCAGACCGTCGGTGTAGCCCAGGCTGACCCTGATTTCCTCACTGTCCCGCTCCTCCGTGTACGTGTCGGCCTCGCACACTCCGTGCACCCGGTGCTCAGTCCTCCCCGCCCGGCTGTGTTGCGACCTGGGCACTGGTACTTAAGTCACCTCCCCTCGAGGTGCTGTGCGCAGTGGTGTCGGGTCCTGCTCCCCGCGTCCTTACCTCAGGCCGTGCCTAAGGACAGAAGCGGGAGGAGCCGGTGGCAGGAGTGCTGTCAGTACCGAGCCCGAGTACCGAGTCAGCACCTGCAGGCTGACACCACGATCCTCTAGGAGTGAAAACCGTCCGGTTAGTCTGGAAACTCGGATGCGTGACTCCGACCTGGGGCTGCGCCTCTCCACCCAGAACCGGCCCAAGCCGGATTGGGTGCTGCCTCCACCCCCATCCCAGATAAGGCTTTCAGTAAGATACACACGTGCACACGTTCCTGAAACCGCCTCTGTAGCACCGCCCGCATCGAGCCTCTGAGGTCCAACCTCGGCTACGTCGTGCACAACAGCCAGCCTCGCGCCACGCTGGCACCTCACCCCTCACCCTCCAGAAAGTGTCCGCCCGGCGTTGACTCGCACCCCGTCTCCCCCCGAAGTCCGGGGACCCCCCCTCCCTCCCGCCCGCAGCCCGAGTTCCTTACCTGCCGCACGCTCGGCTCCCGGCGGGAGTTTCAGGGCGGTTTGTCCCCGTGTGCAAACACCAGCGCCGCTGCACACGGCCCGACCCCGGGCTACGCGGCGACCCTGGACCCGCGTGATGGGCTCCCGACCGGCCCCAGGCGGCTCGTTCCGGCTGCGAGCGGCTTGGCCTCCAGGTTGGGAATTCGCCGGGCCGCGCTCTCAGGAGGCTTTTCCTCCCCAACCGGAAGGCGCCGGGCGGATCCGGACCGGCGGCCGCGGCGCGAACGTCCAGGTTTCAGGAGGCCCCGCCCCCACCC